TCTAAACTCGTTAATATATCAAAAACAAAAACGTCCCCTGGTAAAGTAGTTTTATACCAAAATATGGGGTAAGTGATAACACGAATCTTCCTACCAGTCGCGATTGTCTCGGCTCAAGTTAAGATTCAGATAGTTAACTCCTAAACCTGTTCTTAATATACTTCAAAGTCGAAAAAAGGTACACCACAGGAGGCCGGCCCAATCCGTGGCTGAGTATATAGGTATGTCATCAACAATACGAGTTTTGGTTCGGTTAGCACTTAGCGCATAATTCTGTCGTACCTAGGTAATTCGCCTCATCTATATTTTGTCATACACGGAAGTGCTTAGTGAACAGGACACTGGTTGACCGGGGGCAATAGCCGGTGCGAAAAAAGGGAGATTATGATACGAGGGGGACGGGATCGAACTTCGTAAATGTTTGCGTCGCGATGTCGACCGATGACGGTGCACAATTGCACAAACAAGGGCCTTAGGGGGAGTGGTTGCTAAAAATCCAGCCCCGCGTTCGTTATGTTACGTACCCCAATGGGCCCTATGTATATTTTATATTATTATGTGATGTACCGTTACGTTCGCAGTGCTCAGAGTTTCGCCGACATTTGGGCTCCGCCAACAGCGACGCCGCTGTTTTCGACACTCAGCTCAACCAGCCTTGCGAGCCACTCGGTTCCTGACGCACTGCAGGCGAAAGCTTACGCCGGCAGGTTAGCCGATCTATCCTGAGGACCTCTTCGCGTCTTCAAACGAGTTTCGGGCTGGCTCTAGCGTCCTGCATGCAGTTACTGACCGTTTTGCGTCCTCACTGCCACACAAAATTGAAAACTACACAATTACGACCTCAGCTTCAACGACTCCGTCCACGGAGGACTCAATATTATGTCGGGGAGATAATCAACTGTCGCCCATGCAAGGATCTAACAAAAATCCGATGTCGCCGCATCGCCACCGTCGACCACCGCTTTAAGACGTCACCAGAGCTGTTACGAAAAATATAATTGTAATGAAAATTGATCGTTTTGGTTCCATCATTGATGAATTTTCATCCAATGAAATATCCAGAATAGAATATATAAAAAAATTGGGCCTCGTATGATTTTTTATATTTTTTGGCGTTAATTTTGATAATTTACTTACCGTACAAAGGCATTTTTAACCTTTTTAGACAGTCCTAAATCTGCGTATCTATGGGGAGGGAATACGGAGGGTCATACCCCCCCCCCATAGACCAAATTTTGTACACAATACGACATGTTTATAATAATATGAGTATATATAGGTACTGAATGTCTATTGTACATTTCAAATTCACCCCCTTGAAAAAATCCTATATTCTGTACTTGTATGAAGTATATAGGAATATGGTAATTGTGCTGTCGAAAACGGAGCCGTTTGGGGAATTTATATTTTTGTAAAGCTAGAGCTTTTCATGAAAAGCGTGAACCGAATGGGCCTATTAATTTGGGCGGTCTCTGAATATTTTTTAGGGTTTAATATCTCAGCCATTACTAAACCTTCAAGGTGTATAAGCTTGTGAGTTGTGGGACTGAAAAAGAAGCAAGAAATACTAATTATCCGTGAAACGTAAAGACTGCATTTATTACAAAAATTATAAATTTTTCGCTGCTGTTGAGCTGTAAAATATTCAGTTTTTTTCACTAGAATTAAATAATATTAAATACATAGTTTATTTAATAATAATAATATTATATTAAATAATATAGTGATATACGTGATAATCTATGTCTCTAAACAAATTACAATACATATTTTATAATCGAACTATACGAATGTCGTTAAATAATAATCGTTCGGCGTTGCATAATAATATATAATATTGTAATATGTCCCGTCTTGTTAGTTGTTGATGATATAACAGATAGGTAATAATAATAATAATATGTTATGCGTGTGCGGTGTGCAAAAGATTTCACGAGTCATGACACGAATACGAAACGCGTGTCGGCCGTGTTGACGAACAGTTGAATTAATAATAAATAATTATATTAATATAGACGGTAAAGTATGGCGCAGTTCAGCAGAATTTAGACGCGTACTACCGAGTACCGATATACCGCATCCGTTTGTGGTATGTCTGTGTAATATTATGTATTTATTATATTATATTATATATGTACATAAATACATTGTGGTACGTGTCAGACGTGCACGGCGGCGACGACGAGCGACATTATAAAATAATAGTAATACCGTCGTCAAGGCGTCAACGGCGTCAACCGCGGTGGTGCCGCCGCCGCCGCTCGGCGGTCCTCGCGTGGGGGTCCCGTGACGTTGGCGGCACTGCGGCCGCGGCGCTCGGTGTCGCACGCCTGCCCCGTGCGTCGTTGATTGTAAATAAACCGGCGGACCGCGGACGACCCCCGGCCATCCCATCCATCCGTCTCACCGATTCAGTAGTAGCCAGCCGTCGCGTTTCCATTCGCAAACGCCAAATATGGTAGAGTGATTCAGTGATATTAGACGGGGACCTTTTTTTTTTTCCCTCCGATTCACGGCCAGTTCGCCGCGCCGTTCAGCCGTTGTCCGCGCCGCTTAATATCGCCTTCTCCCCCCGCGCCGCGCTGTCGAACCGACGACGACGACGACGACGTTCCGGTTATCTTGTCCGTCTGTAATATTTATTTGATTTTTTTTTTTTCTCTCGTCAACACACACATTTATAATATTACAACAATAATAATTATTATTATTATTGCTTGTCGTGTGCGATTCGGTCGATCGGCGATATCGCCCGAACTTGGGGTACTTTTCAAAAAATAATACAATTATTCTCGCGTCAGCTTCACACACTCGCGCCGCCACCGCCGCCGCCACACGCACACACTCGCGAGATTTATACATATTATTATTATTATAATATATTTGGCTGGACCGCCGCCGGAGCTCCGTTGACCGTTAGCAGTTTCCGAGATAACGCCGCGAAAAAAATATACCTACAGATTATACTCGGAAGAGAAATTCCCGTTGCATGAGTCACCGAGGTGAGTGTTCACACGTTAAGCTGTTTGTCTAATTCGTGATACATTTTTTTATAATATTTACTACCCGAGTCGAATTGAAAAAAACGATCTTTTCGACTCGGGACAGGCCCCAGCTGGGTAGCGGTATTATTGTTGCCCATGTGCAAATACCTGCTACGGCTCCTAAACTTTTGCCCGTGAGTCTTTTTTTACACGTCTTGTGTTACACCGTTTTCGAGTTACTCGCTTTGAGTTTCTCGGGGTGCCAATTTTTTTTCCACCATATTTAATCACAACGTACTTGCTCGGGGATGTCGAGTACCAGATTGTGTCGAGGGCTCGTCTGTCCGTTGCACGCCCATTTTTTGAATCCGTGTTTTGAGTCTCGATGAGAATGTCTGTCAATGACAAAACTGTAGAGGACATCTGTCTGCATTACACTAATTTTTTTTTTTTCCGTAACGACGACCATTGATTGTGTGTTTAAATTAAAACATTAAACAACAAACAATTTATATTCTAGAACTCGAGAATTATAGAAGTTTACTTTTTTTTTTTCATATAAAGTCGGAGATAATCACTGGTTAATTATTGTTATCGAGAGTTTATGTTTCGAACATCTGAAGAATATTTAAATTATAAAATATAGGTTATCATTGCTAATTTGTATGTATTTATTTTTATTATTTCCTAATTTTTGTATGTTGCGAGAATGAATTTTTTTTTTAGGTAGGTATTTAAATTACCTGAGTAGGTATCTATACTTTATTTGTAAAAAATAAAATAAAGTCAGAATAATACCTATACATCTATCTTAAATTTTAATTTTTTTCATATTAGGTAGGTACTGTATGAAAATATATGTTTATATTATGTTCTTTTTTTTTATTTAATGACATTTCTAATAGTATATTTGATTCGATTCATTTAAACAAATTTTGTTCAAAAATCAAATATTATATCTGATACCAAGGTATTATCTGACCACTTATTTAGTTATTTTTTAAATCAAATGAATGTTGTTGAATCTTATTGTGGATATTTTTTTATGTAAGTTTATTATTATTATTTATTATCCACATCAATAGCTCTTACCTGTATTCAAATTTCAAAATGTTCACAAGTTAATTTGAATTAAGACAAAATTAGTACCTAAATCAAAACTTAACCAAAAATACAATGCTTATATGTGGTACATGGGTTAGAAACATAAAATATTTTTGTTTGAGTAAAGATTTTAAATTTGAATCCGGTTTTATTGAGATTTTGTTATTAAAGTTGTAGACATTGTGATGTAAATTTAGAGGGAAAATCAAGCATCAACGCATAATTATGCTAATGTACTTTTACTGTAGTATAAATGCATTTATTTAAAAAAGTAATGATACCAATGTGTTATGATAAGCAATTTTTAATTAAAGCATTTATTTTCTTATCCAATTGGACTGTTCAAGTTGTTTGATGTGACTTAGACATTTAATATGTATGATAAAGTATTCACCTACACAATATATGTTTTAGGTACCTAAATTATTATAATTGTATGCTTCTAATTCGTTGGGGGAATTTACCTATAGTAACCATGGATAGGTTCAATGATGGTTCTCAACCTTCTTGAATATGCTTTTCAGAAGTAGATTGGGAGGTAATCATCCCAGAAGAAGTATTCTATAATGATAAGTTTATAAGTAATATTACTAAATGTTTAGCAGCACTCCCACCGACTTATTGAACTGTTATGTTAAGTACATTACGTTTGCACTCTCTGGCTAATGACTTTCCTTTATATACCTATATAGGCATATTACCATATTATGTTTTACAATTTATCACTAAAATGGTGTATACCTAGGAACCACAAAAAGCATTAATTAAGGGCATTAATCATAACAATATTTGAGGAAAAAATATATATCTATTAACTGTATACCTATCTGTATTGCATATAAAATAATTTAAATGTTGGTCTGCCCTATGATATTGTGTAATTTAATTTTTAATAATTTTGTTTATTTACAGATGTCTTTTAAAGTAAGAAGTAGTAAGTTTCGTCATGTGTACGGCACAGCTCTAAAACGTGAATATTGTTATGACAATATTCGAGTATCCAAATCTTCGTGGGATTCCACATTCTGTGCAGTGAATCCAAAATTTGTGGCCTGTATCGTTGAATCAGCTGGTGGAGGTGCTTTTATTGTTTTACCTCTTTCAAAGGTAAGTTATCTTAAATGATTTAATTTGACGTGTTTTATATACATTAAGTAGCTATCCATAAAACCTGATTATGATGTATTTATATTAAATTAAATATAACTGAATTACTAGTAATGCAGTATATATAAATGTGTCATAATATATTATTCAAAATCATAACTTGTTTTCTTTAACCCTGTTATTACATTTTTCTTATAAAGTTACTATTCAGGGATTTTTTTTTTTTTTGTTATACTTGTAAAAAAGCTAAACTTTCTATTAGGATAAAAATAAATACCATTTGCTTATTAGAACAAAAGTATGCCAATGATTTTGCAAATTTTACTATTTACATTAAAAAGTAAAAGAAAATTAGAAGTATACTGTTGGCATAGATTAATTATTTAGTTAAGATATGACAGTTATTGATACTATATTTTTTTTTAACCACAAATAAGAATAAAGGATTATGTATAAAGTTTTATCTTTTAGTAACAGGATAGTTTACATTATGGATTTCATTTCATCATTAAATTAGGTACTGTTACATTAAGTATTGAAATCTAAGTAGTGAATTGGAATAATGTTTTAGTTATTTCTATGTGAACATTATCTTCGACACCAAATATGCAATGTAATGTGATGATAGATATAACTATTGTAATAAAATATGATGTCGTAGTATAGTAGCTAAACAAGTAGCAACTAGGTACATCAGAAACAAATAATATTATCAATAAATGTATTAATATAATTTTTATATTATTAGGATTTAGTTGTTGACTATCTTGTTATGATATTATATTGTATGTATTATATTATAATCATTTTTAGATATACTTTATCTATTTCTAGAAGGAAATAAAAAATTATATATAGATCTCCAACAAGTTTTTCCCTGTTAACAACTTTTATTCTAATGTATTAATTTGTTTTTATATACAATTATTACTTTGTTGGAAAACTTAAATATTTTGGTAGGTGTTTAAAGTATAGTTTCAAAATAAAAAATAGTAAATATTTTAATATTTTCGGTGTTATTTAAAAATGTAAAATGTTTATATGAATTATAGTTAAAATAATTGTCAAAGTCGTGGACTAAAAGTTAATAAAAAAAAAAAATTTAATTTAAAAAAATATGAATTAGGTAGGTATACTAGGTACTTAGGTTTTGTTTTAAAATAGAAAATTTCATATAGGTATTATATTTCATAAATATTGGAAATTTAATATCAATTTGTTTTTGGGAAACTTTGGCTTCAAATTTGGCAACCATATTTTTTAAAGATAAATTCAATTTATCGACAAATATAATTTTTGTTAAGTAAGTACATACAAAATAAGATTAACAATTAATACATTAATAAATTGTGGACTATAGGTATCTACTTAGGAATTAACTTGCGACAAGATACAGAAAAAAAAAATGAGTCACGACTCGAGATAGTACGGTAACCTATAGTTCATGATGGTAATATGGTGTCATCTTTATTTAGCTATATGAATTTACGTTTACCCATATGAATTAATAAAAATGATGGCAAAAATCACAATAGTAACTATATTATTATGTATATTAATGCTTAAAACAGAGCTCTAGCTAAGTCCAACCATATTTTTTGAGACAAACATCCAATAATTGTAATTAAGTGGTTTGTATGCTGCAGTGTATTTATTTTGATTCGTTGATTTTCTGTGGTCAGCACTCGACATAATTAGGGCAACCCCACTTAGTAACGTTGTATGCCTAAAATAATTTATATATAATAACCGTTCATCATGATTTCTATATTTAAAATTCTCCCAGGAGGTTAAAATCATCAAAAATACATTTGAACGGTTGCCGTGTGCAAAATGCCAATTTTTCATTGCCCTCAATTTGTAGTAAATTTCAATATCGATATTTTTAGTAAAGAGTTTTGTCAATTATGAGACAATAGTATAATATATTATTGTAATAATATGGTAGTTAATATTTATCCTATTAAAAATATTAAGTATTTTTAATTGGTTAAATTGGCACAAATTAAAGAGTTGTAAAACGTATTAAAAAATATTTAATATAGATATATCATATTATATACGGTTATTATAAGTTATAACACTTATAACTTATTAAACATAACTAAAATGGTAAAATAAGTAATAACTGTGCGTTATAACAATATTACGGCTATACAGGTCATTTAATTTCATTCAGTACATGTTCAATGTATTTATCTCAACGAAATGACGTCATAATTAATATTCATGGTCCATACAAACATATTGCCAAGAAATAAGAAATAAGAATACGGATAGAATAAAAATGATGGACCCCCTACCTAGATAATAATATGAACAATGCTTGCCTGTGTTTTGTTATTTAAACTATTCGTTTATATTTCATTCAATGATTTCTATGACGTTCTACGCAATAATAATATAGCTACTTTATATTTTTCATTTTAAAAGAATTCGTATTTGTGCAATGCAAAATATTGGTGTATTACAATTTCATTGATTTTATTGTTTTTAATCTTATAAGTTATAACTTATATTTAGGCACATTATTATATGAGTCATATTATTTTCTTTGAGTTACATTATTTACAAATGTAATAATTATGTACTGAGAACAAAACAAAATCATTATCATCGTACGAAATTATTTATATACAGTTGTCTATGCCCTATGGTACATATTTTATAGGTACTAACTAGTAAGTAGTGACTCACATCATTAAGATATGTGTGTTGTACTCTTGGAAAGAACTTTTAAACAATAGTTTACAGTTTATATAATATAGTTTCCTTATGGTTGTTTTTTCGTTTCATTAATTATTTCGTAATACGTGGTTGGATACTTTATAAATCATAATTCATAGTACCATAACATCTATAACAGGTGTGTTTTTTGTTTGTTTGAGTAAATGTAAATACATGAGTAAATCAGTAATTAATGTACAATATTTTATTTATAACAAAAAAGTGTTATATAGTTATAGTCGAGGTTTTAGTGTATACATTTTTGATTCAAAGTAAAGCATTATATGCGTTCCACCATTGATTTTTTTTTTTACTATAAATATACTTAACTGATGAATGTAGTTTGAAAAATGAGAAATTGAAAAATATCGATATTATTGATTTAGTTATAATTAAAAAATAGCGAAGACTTGAATATATTTCATCAATACACCAGAAAATCTTCAAACAATTTGATGGATTGTTTAGTTATATTTTAATTTAGAGATTTATTTGATCGTTTTGACCAGAGGTTACGGTGGTAACTCAATACTCAATAGTCAATATTTTAATAATATACAATCACTAAAAAATATTTGAGATTTATTTTTATTAAGTTCTTAGTTTTAGGTTTATTGTTTGTTAATTAATTAATAATTTTGATTTTAATTCAAGGTTATTTATGTATTTATATATTTAGAAATTGTTATCACTAATTATTTTTAGTATGGTGTAAATAGACCCCTGATCAAAAATAATTTTAATATTATGGAAAATCGAGCTTCCCCAGTTTGTATCATGATTTTGAATGCGATCATTTATTTCAACACCATATTTTTATTATTAGCATGATTTGGGTTTCCACCGAAAATATTTTTAATGAACATGTCAGTACTCGGTGATTTTTAAATAACAATAATAATATTATGTATTATTATTAAATATTTCGTGAATAATACTATTTTGGTTCTGAAATCTGAATTCACTTAGGCATTAGGATTCCGCCGGTATAGGGCGGCCTTAGGAAAAAGAAAAAAATTTAATTTAAACTTCGCTATTGTTGTAACTAAAACTTGGTTTTAGTTTTATTGTGGATTTTAGGCTAATTATTTATAGAAGACGAGTACTGTGCTATTTATAAGAGGATTTTTTTAAATTTACCAATACACTGTTTCCTAAAATTTGGCTGGTTCTACAGAATAATTTAAAGAAATTTACTCATTCCTTAAAAAGCTTATTTCTTATGTAAAATTTAACTTACTTTATTTATAAATAAACGCCATACTTTTTTACTTGTTGTTTTTTTCTCTGAATGGTGGAGAATGGATATCCCCACCTATACACTAAACTTTTGCTTTCATCTGAGGATGATTATTTTCTTATTACACGCTTGTTAATTTTAAATACAATTAGGAATGGATTTGCAAAAAAAAAAACAAAATAATATTAAATAATCGAAATTAATTTTATTAATTTTTCATGACTCAGCATAATATTAACTCTTTAAAAATGCTTTTTTAGACTGGTCGATTACCCGCCGATCAACCTGTAGTTGGTGGTCATAAAGGTCCAGTGTTAGACATTTCATGGTGTCCGCATAATGATAATGTAATTGCTAGCGGTTCTGAAGATTGTGTGGTAAAGGTTTGGCAAATTCCCGACGGTGGAATTTCACGGTATGTGTACATTTTAATTTTTTTTTTTAACTAATTTAATTTTATATTGTAATTCAATTTTTTTGTTTAGGACATTAACTGAGTCAGTAGTAGATTTAATTTATCACCAAAGGAGAGTTGGCCTGGTTTTATGGCACCCAACAGCTCGAAATATTTTGTTATCTGCTGGTAATTTTTGTTTGAATTTTTATTTATTTACTGCAAAATTGTAAAATCCAATATTTATACTTGTTCTGTTTATAGGATCTGATAATCAAGTAGTAATCTGGAATGTTGGTGTTGGTGAACCACTTATTCATATCGATTGCCATCCAGATATTGTATTTAGTGCTTCATGGAATTTTGACGGATCACAATTATTGACAACATGTAAAGATAAAAAGTTGAGGCTAATTAATCCTAGAAGTGGGGAAATCGAGCAGGTATACATTTTAGTTAATTAATTTGAAATATTTATATTTATTCATTATTTCTGTAGGAAGTAATATGTCATGAAGGTAGCAAAGCATCCCGAGGTATATTTTTAAAAGGCGGCCTTATATTTACAACTGGTTTTAGTAAACTTTCTGAAAGACAGTATTCATTGAGATCTCCTGAAAAACTAGACGATCCTATTGTTATGGTTGAATTAGATACAAGCAATGGAGTTATGTTTCCTCTGTATGATCCTGATACTAGTATGATTTACTTGTGTGGCAAGGTAATGTGTTTAATGATGTTTTATTATTTGAAAGAAACATATAAATAAATTTATACTTTTAGGGTGATAGTGTTATTCGATATTTTGAAATTACTGCGGAGCATCCATTTGTCCATTACATTAATACGTTCCAAACACCAGATCCTCAACGAGGAATTGGTATGATGCCGAAACGTGGTTGTGATGTATCAATTTGTGAAATATCAAAGTTTTATCGTTTAAATAATTCTGGACTCTGTCAAGCAATCAGCATGACCGTTCCAAGAAAGGTAACTTATTATTTATTTTTATAATTTTAAATTTAAAAATTGTAATTAATTTTTTATTTGTAGTCAGAGTTATTTCAAGAAGATTTATACCCGGATACTATAGGAGATATTCCTGCAATAGATGCTGAAGATTGGTTTAATGGTCAAGATGCTGAACCTATCCTGATATCATTAAAAGATTATCATCAGCCAACACGATTGCCTACTGCTTCTGAAATGAAGGTTGCTAAAAAGCCAAATATATTAGATAAACCATCAGCGAATAAAACAGTCAAGTCCAGTCCAAACAATACAACCTCAGCAGCACCACCTGTAGCTAAACCATCATTTAATCAGCCACAGCAATCAATTCCAGTTAGTAAAAATAATAACATTTACAATATTGTTAAGTAATTTGTTATAGTTTAATAGTTGAGTTAGGTTGATTGATAAAAATGATGAATAGTTAAGATATTTTATGGTAATGGATAATGCAATAATTTATATACTTACCTAAAAATATTTTTATAATGTTAATTGATTAAATTAGTGATTCACTAAAATGTAACTGACTTATCATAAGTCACTAATTCAGGTATTAGTTCACTATTTTTTCATTACATTTTCATTACATGATTGTTCATTCAACCAGGCATAAAAACATTTTATTTTTATGTTCATTTGAAACCGAGTTTTTGCAAATTTGTAATGTTAAATATTATTTACTTTTAGGATGATGTTGTGAAAGAATTTAAAGAGGAAATTCGGAAGTTAAAGGCAATGATCGTAAAACATGAAAATCGTATTAGGGCTTTAGAAGCTCGAGCAGCTGAGGATACTACTGATACAGCCAAAGATGGTGGCGATTCTCTTGTTCTTAAAAATAATGACCAGAATGATGTGGAAACCAAAGATAATGATACAGAACATGTGGATACTAATGAAGACGATGATTAATTGTATGGTACAAACATTTTTTTTAACAATTATAAAGAACTTTGAGATAAACTGGGTGTATTCTGGTTATATTTGCTATATTTATGACAACATACATTATTTAATTACAAAATAACATGCTCAAAGTGGTTACAATTCTACTTTTCTCTAGTCTTCAGTGTGTGTTTTTAAAAAATTTATTATCGATATAATATATTAAGTTATGTTCCTCTTTTTCCCTCAATTTTTAATTGTCCTTTAATTTATAATGAGTTATATTATTATTTTTATTCTTTCAGCACTTTTTATTAACACACAAAGTTAATTTGTTAAATTCATATTGAATAGTTTGAATAATTGTGCCCAACTAAAAATAATGTTAATTAAGTACTGTTTGTTTGGTTGAGTCGATCAGGTACGCGTAAATATAATTTTTTTTAAATCTAGATTATTGGTTTTGGAACTTTCAATCATGTGGTTAATAACAGTTATGTTAACTACAAAACAACATTAAATTTCTATCTAGAATTTTTTATTAAAAATGTGCTTCCAAACAAATTTAACTACTCCATGAATCTCTAGTCCTTTATTTGAGCATTACAATAAATATTGGATACAATATATTATTGCAAATAAATAATTGCTGGTTTGAATACAAAAAGTGTTTCATGAAACTATAACAATGTTTTGTGCTGATAGAATTTAAAATGATTTATGTAACTTTAATAATAGAGACAATTTTGACTGTAAAAAAAAAACCATTTATTTATAAGATAATATAACTAAGTGCTTGTATAAAACAAATTCTGAAAAACTATTGCATTAAATATGATACACTTATTAATTGTTTTTAATAAGCATTTTTTATTAAATTAATATATATTTTTCATTTAACAACGAAATTTAATAATTTTGGTATAGCCTATAAATTTGTTTATTATTAGATAGTAACCCAATTATTATTTTAGTTTTAATAGCCAGTAATATAATATCAAATACAATACTTTAAAAAATATTTGTATTTATATTCCGAGCATAGATTATTCTATTGAATTTTTTAACATAATATATTTATTAAAATATCTAACATTACTCATATCTATGACCAACCATTACAGTTAGAGATCATGATAATTAACTATTAAAATGTTTAAATAATATTTGGTAAAAAAATATAAAAAGAAACATTAACATAAAGTCATAAAAATAATTTACAATATAATTGGAATGGTCTTGTATTAATTTACATTTTTTCGTCCTATTATGCATTTAATATTTTTAATTTTATAAATTGCATTATTAATAAGTAAACATTCAGAAACAATATTAATATGTGGTACAATTGTAGACTGTAGTTATTGCATACTATTATCATGGAAAGTCTTAACAAAAGTTCACTTGTTATTTAACGCATTAATACAACAATCTGTGTTGCAATTTTTTATAGTAGAGTGTATTTACCAAATTATTAATATTCTTTCAACAAAATGCTTTGTAATAAAAAATTAAAAAAAAACAGTACAACTTTTTATGATGAACAGGGTGCTTATGCGAATTTGAATATAAATAAAATAACATATTTATAAAAAAAAACTCAAGTGCCAATTTTATATTAACTTAACTTTCATTATTTCAAATTTTGTAATAATCAGTTGTATAATACAAATGCTCAACCCGTTTTGTGATTCCCATAAATACTTCCATGAAAATGCAATTTTTACTTCAGTAACTTTATCTCATATATGTTTTACCATACTGAGCATCACATTATTGTGTTAAGATAATTTCAGAGTTAATGCGTTAGAAATTGTAGCTTCTGTCATTTATAATTTTTTTAATTCATATGTAAATATATTATACTTTTTAATACATTTGTTATCTATTTTTATACATTTCTGTAATATGTTTGTCATTTGAATGTATTATTATTATTATTATTATTATTATTATTATTATTATCATTACTATTAAAACTATTAGTTAATGGCTATTTAAATGTCATGCAACTTTATATACGAATACATCTGAACAAGGATAATGCGCTTTTTTTAATCCAAATATTTTAACCATAACTTCTTCCCTTACGTCTTACCTATTGTCAACAGATGGAATTTAAAATACCTTAAGTATAGTTGAAAAATATTGTATTTTGTTATGATAATAATATACATTGTATTTTGTACTCTTTTCTTATGTATAACATTAAACATATATTATATTATGTATTATATATTATACACCTGTTTGTATAATATTAGATTAAATAATTGTGTGTGTTGATGTGTGTGATCAGATAATGAACAGAGTGTATTAAACTTTTTGAAAAAAAACTGTAAAACTGATTGAATTTTCACTATTTATTTATTTGTATTGTATTGTTTTGTTGAATATATAAATATGTTCAGTGATGTGCCATTTACACACAGTAGTTGTGTATTTTTTTGATAAACAAAAAATGATAATTTGTAATCAACCTATATTTATTTTATCACCTTTCACCCAGAAATGTTATTTGTTTTTGGTGTAGACATGTAACGATCATAAAAAAATATTATACACATTGAATAAATACGCCTACTGTACTCTCTAAATTATTTCTTATGAAATATATTCTACTCTCATATTGTTTTACAATGTATTGAACAAGAACTTTTGTAGTTTATTAATTTAGTGATTGCAATATTGTAAAACATTAAAATTGACTTGGCCACATTTGTCTGAGGTTATCAACTGAATAGTGAATATAGTTATCATCAATACCTAGTGTCCTAATTCTATTTGGTTCAGAGTTTCAGACATTATAATATGTTATTATATTATTAACATCATACAATTTGACCACTTATCGATTATCGGTTTACAGTTAATTAGCTTGAATAAAATCATTAAACATAATAAAGATTATACACAATAAATTTTAATAATTATGTCCAAGGGATTGTTTTAAATGATATAACTTATGGCAACTATTTATATTGATATACCTATGCCTTAGTGCCTAAATATATTATTTTATTATTTAAATATAAAATCACACAAATTAAACCCTATTTAAAGGCCTGAAGTATGTACCGGAAGTATATCTAGTTAATTTGTTAGTATTGAAACTTGAAATTATTGACATAGTTCACTAGAATCCCAATTTATATTGTAAGTTAAGGAGTAATTTAAACCGAAGGTAAAAAAAAAATCTTCTTACATAAGTATAAGAAATAATATGTGGATTTTTTTTTTCACAATTGAATGTTATCTTTCATTTATGTTATAAAAACCATAGTTATATACAGTGTCACAGTGACCACCATCTGTGAATCATAAAACAATTAGACATTTATGTAGACCTCGTTATTCATAGTCGTTAAATAAACTAAGGTTTAACCTAAGATAAAAAAAAATTCAATCCTTAAACCTTGGTTAAACTCTGGATTAATAATGGCTAAGTTTTCATAAGCTCTTGATTATCTTGGTTTTATTATAAACAGCCATATATGGCTATAGAGCCCCCAAATTTCCAAATTATTACTAATTGTTGCCAATCTAAAAAAAAAAAATACATTCTATGTTCTTCTATTTTAATGGGGGAACTTTACGGTTTTTCCATAGGTTTTTTTTCATGTCATTGTTATCGTTGTATTTTATGAATTGTTGTAAAATATATTTTTTGTCACGCCTGCACCGAAAGTTTGGTTTTCGACCACGGTTGAAGCGTTCGAATGCGTCCTTTTTCCGTTCAGCGGGCGGCAGAGTGGAAATCCCCAAAGTGCCGGGCGGAAAAGAGGAAATCCCCAAAAGTGCCGCGCGGAAAAGAAGAAATCCCCAAAAGTGCCGGCCGCCGGGCGCGTATCCCCTGCACAACCAGAAACTAAAATGTATACCTACCACGGTTCTTACAAAACATAAACTTTTATAGTCTATAAATGTTGCATAGATCCCTGCATAACCTTTTCCATGAACGCAGGGGCGTGACAATAAATAGTATGTGTGGCTCGCGCGGGAAGGCCATTTCAGTCTTGAGCGAAATGCGGCACACGACGCCCGCGACTGAAATGGCTCACTTCCCGCCCTTGCCACACAATATACTATAGATTACCAATGTGAATTTATTTTATGGTTCGTACTCTATTTTTGAGTTAATTAGTGGTATTTATTTATTTAAAATTGTCATTTGAATCGCGTGATTGTATTTTATAATGGATTAATTAAAAAAATCGGTTAATATTGGGAAAGTGGGGAGAAAGTGCTACCAACTGAAATTGTCACACCGTTTATCTAAGTGATTGAAAATAAAATTTGTAACACAAATGCGAATAAGTCAAAATTAGAAACGTGGTCCCAAATGTATAAAGAATTTAATGGTAATTGAAAAATTCGAAGGACTTTACTACAAATTAAAAGTGAATGGAAAAGAATGAAAATAGTTGCCAAAATAAATGTTTCGTCATATAAACAAAACTTAAGACAAACCGGAGGAAGTCCACCATCAATTTGATCAATTGGACTTGACATTGCAGTCTCTAATGTCGATGAATTTTAATAAAGATGCAAACGATTTTGACTGTGACAATGATGGATCAACTCAAAAGGTGTAGTAGGTATTTATAATTTTTATAGTTGTAATTATGATTTTTTTGTCTTTTTCTGACCTATTTATTATAGACTTCTTAAATTTTCTTTTTTTTTTAAATTTTACTTTTAATGCCGTTGTTCTTATTTTCTAATGTCTAACTTCAAACGATCGTAAAAAATTAATTTGACTTTCAGGTAAACTCTTTTTCTTGTTTAATGTAAGAAAACTTTAGAGTTAAGGAGAACCTTGTGTTAATTTGTCAAAGATTAGATTTAAGGTTCCTTATTTAAATTTGCTAATGATCACAGTCACACATCACTCACGTATGTACAAGGTTATAGACAGTGGCGTATTTTCAATTTTTTTCTAGGGGTGGTCCAATAATTCCAACATATTATAGATAGGTACTGATATAAAGAAATAGTTTTTAATAGATGAAAGAATAAAAAATAGT